AATTAACGGATAATGAGATTGTCGGGGCACGTTCCGTCTGTTCGATCTGTATCTTTTATGTTGCCCTTAAATATATATTTGCATGTGGTTTAGACACGTCGTTGCACATAAAACGCTTTGATTTCTATTGTCAATTTTCGCAAAGTAAAACATTTGTATGATTCTGACTGAGGCTACACATTGTATAACAAAATCTGCATGTCATGGTGATGTTTGTCCTTTTATATTATTTAGATAAATAATCTGACCTGTATCGTTAAATGGGACTGCAGGTTTACTTTTGTGAAATTTTTTTATGATCCATTTTTCACGCAGTATTAATTTTTTGCATATTTTTTTCATTGAAAAAGCATTGAAAAAAGGTAGTTAGACTATAATTATGCTGAATAATCCTTTCATGTCAACACGTTAGGAAAATTATTTTTTGTCTGACTTTTGAAAAGACATTTTCCGTAAGCCCGTATATGACTCACATAAGTCTACTTATTTTGCATTAGATTATAAGGCATTGCACGACACTAAAATCAAATTAAACAAAGAATTTAAACAAAATTAACGACATATCACTGAATTTAAGTTTTTTATTTATAACTTCGATGATCTCTATATTCTAGTATTCAAGCTTACGGCTAATTTTAACGGGTTATACTTGGAACTTTCCCATAGACACTTGTTTGCTGTTCGTCTGAAATGCAGCATCAGTGACGGGTTTTTATCTCTTTGTCATTCTGTATATTCCAAATGTTGACATTAATGACATTACTAATATCTGCAAAGTTATATACGTGCTGATCATGCATAAAGAATAGACAAAACAAATTAAAGCGAATTAGTATCTGTTTACGTGCAATGTTGAACGAACGAATCAACCAAGAAATACAAGTTAAACCGAATCAATTTGCTTTCTATATCAGTAACAGCAAACCTATATAAAAAAAAAAAAACTCCCCTGAAAAAAAAATCATTCAAATTCAAAAACTGGTTTTCAATTCAATTCTTCGGAAGCGTTGAGTTACAAGTTACAAGTTTTGATCGAAGTAGACATTAATATTTCTATTTTTAATGTTTTTTCTTTTTTTTTCTTTTGATATCTGTAAAATGTAAAGTTCACTATAAATTTCATTTAGATAGTAATGAAATACATTCATAAAAATTAAAGGTCAAATTAAGGGATGTACTACTAACTACAGGTATTTATATAGAAAGAAAATTCAGGGAGTTTTTTCCACTTTTTCTCCCATTGGTAATTTCCCCCGCAAATGGGTGCCGGTACATTATAATAACAGGAGCTCCTAAATCAGCTGCCCAGGACTTTTTAGTTTTTGTTTTCCAGGTGATTTAAAATAAAACATGTTTAATTGAGGAAAAAAACTATGTTTAATGTGATATCAAAAAGTCATTAGAAAATCATTTGCCAAATACTGTGGGTAAAAGCTTTCATCTTTTGTCCGCTGAGTTATAACCCCCTAAAAAGTTGTTCAAGATCAAACTTAATAGTCAACAATAAATTACATATGTAAAAGCAAAATCTTTTGAAACTTTTAACTATGTTTTAATTTAAGTGTATTCAAAGAACTTATTTCTCTTTGTTTTCTAATTGTTTTGTAAGGTTTTCCTCCCACTCTTACATAAAAGTAATTTTGTTCTTTCATAGTTCTTTGAATTATTGCTTCAAAACTTTTACTTTACTTCAAATTTGAAATACATCCAGAAAAAAAAACTTGTGTTATTTGGCTGCTTGTTTTTTTTTCCATAATTTTGACGTCTATTCGCATGTTAAACACGAGAATATTACGGCAATTAAATGCATTCTACATATTCCTGTCCGAATTTACGAGCCTGTAATTCAGTGATTATCGTTGGTTGCTGTCTGTTATATCTGTTTTTTGTTTTATTGTTTTGTCATAAATTAGGCCGTTGTTTTTTGGTTTTTTTTTAATTGTTTCATATTTTGTCATGTAGGGCCTTCTTATAGCTGACTTTGCTGATATGAAGGCCATAAGCCGGTGTGTTCGTCATTTGGGCACTGTTGAATATTTGTCTCATTGGCAATCATATCTCCTTATTTTATATAATATTTTTAAGTCTTATTATATATATATATATATATAAGTACTAGACAATTATATCAATAAACTGATGACTAACAAATTATTTTTTTCCCGAGGGACTGAGTTGTTTTGAAATGCCTATTTCCGACATTTCTTTTGGATCAGAAGGACAATATTTGTCTCGAGGATAAGGGAGCATAGGGCTTGTCAGAAATTTAACATAACAAGTTTACCTGTAGCGACACGTCAAAAGAGTTATTACCTTGGTTCTATATTAATAGAACACACCCGCGAAATCGCGTGTATTTAGAGCTTGGTTTGAAAGTATGTAAACTGTTGTAGGATGAATTTTTGTAAAAGATTTTATGTCTGGAGAATTTCAGAAAAGGTATCAAACTGAGTCATAGGCACTTGGAGACAGGACAATTATTTTAAGCCCTCTCCCTTTTTTCCAAAGTCCGTTATTTTTTTTGCTCTCTGTTAAATTCCATGATTTTCACGTTTCTGTAAACTATGAACATACATATAATATAAATAAAGTGTGCTTGCTATTAACTATCATTTCCAAGTTTCTTCTCCACGGCGATCACTGCAATATTATATAGAGAGTCTCTATATATTTTAGGATTATAAACATAGTATACATGCAGAATAACGCGAAAATAATTGTCCTGTCCCCGCGTAATTATGAAAATTATGTTTAAAGAGGGGAGTAAAGGGGGACGGAAGAACCGTGGCGAAACAAAATTGCCATTTCACGATGAGCGAACAATTAAAAATTTCTTACACATTGATCTTTTTGTCGATTTCAAGAAACACGGTGAATAACGAAACTTTTTCACGGCTGCACGTGAAATAAAAAGTGGCAAAACACGTTGCACGAAAATAACCCTTTACCCCCTCTTTTAAAGTTTAAAATCGGAAGTCTTGGGTATGACTTAAAAGTCGGTCTGATGACGGAAACAATATCCGGACGCCCTTTTTCTTCGTTTTTCTCCCAAAATAACCCAAACTGAATAATCATTAGAATGGATGACAAATGCGACTTTGCATGGTACCTATAGGACACAGAGGCATAATGATTAATTTATTGGGGAAGGAAGAGAAGCGACACACAAAATGAGGTCTTCTCGTTTAATAGTACAGATTTAAAAAAATCTCCCACAAGCATTAGTTTAAGTAACCATGAAGACATTCTATCAGATTTGGAAAGGTAAATTACATGATTAATTGTGGACGAGTGTCGCTCTGGCGTTTAAGAACGTCGAACAGATTTAAAAACTCTTAGAAGCTCTTAGGCGACCGTTGTAAAACATTATACGTAGGTATACTTTAAAACTATCTGCTCCTTCCTTCTCGTTTCAGGTCATACCAATTAATTCAGTTTTTTTGGTGGTTTTTTTTTTGCATAAAACAGTTGCCACTAGATGTTCAGAAACCATTAAACGATCAATTGTTTAATTTACAATTTCCAATTTTTTTTCATTCATTAGGTTATCTGGATGAAATTCTTGGAATAAAAAAAATCATATCTAAGTTACATTAAAAGACAAACAGGTTTTAAACAAATTAAAGTCATTATCAGTTCTATATATATATATATCTGCGAATGCATTCCTAACCAGCTGAAAGCAATAAAATGTTGACATTGCCGCGGAATTTGTACTCAAAGCCAGCAATCAACTCAGTATCCAGAATTGTGTCACATTTTAACTTTATAATCTTAGAAATAAAACTGTATAGTGTAAGTACAAAACCAGATATCTTTTTTTTCAGTAAAGGAATGATGCATAAACAAACGTTTTAGTAAACTAGTCAGCTCGCTTGTCTCTCCGTAAAAATGAATTGACTTTAGTACATTTTATAACAAGTGTAAGATGCAGCAAACTGCTATGAGTAGATTGTGTATTTCTTTTTATTTTCTTTTTTTTTGTTATCTGATTTCATGTTAATAAAGTGTTGAGTGTTTTTCTTGTCCTACTCATTACTTTTTTTTATTAATATATTATGCATCTTTCGTTACTCCACTGGCCTAGTTTAAAGACAAAGGATGACATAGATAAGAGAGGTCTTAAAAAATAGTTTAACCCTGTCACATATTCACGTGCCTTTCCAAAGTCAGAAATCTTGATATTTTCTTTTTTGATAACACTGGGTCGATAACGGTGCTGGTGGACTATCAGTCTCGGACTATCAGTCTCTGAGGTACCATCGCATCAGTATAGTCAGTACTTCGGTTCTGGAATGATTTATAACATACCTTTCTTAAGGAGCTACCATTTCATTTTTATGGGGGGAGGGGCTAGGATGAAATTTGAAAAAAGGCAGGACAGGAGTTTTGAGTAAAAAAAAGGGCAGGATGAGCAACTTGGCAAAAAAAAAAGGCAGGATGACAATTTATGTCAAAAAAGTCAGGATAAACTAACAAAAAAAGGCAGGACCGAATAGAGTGAAAAATAAAAAGGCAAGACAGAGATTACAACTAAAAAAAATGCAAGACAAAATTTTTCATCCTAGCCCCCACCCCCTAAAAATCAAATGGTAGCTTCCTTAAATTGTCCGTTTATAATTTATAAAGAAACTTAGATTTCAACTCAGACAAAGTAGGCAAAATTTGACCTTAGATAGATTTAGCTATTATTTTAGGTCCCTTTTTTGGTCATAAAGATCTTGACCTGTTTCGGTTCTGAAATATTCTTTGCTTTCAAATATTTGGTATGCTCTCGTTAAGAAATAAACAGTTTTCACGATAGACGTACGATGTCGTATGGTGCAATGCAAAGTACTGTGATCAGCTATGAACTATTTTTCATGTGAAATTGAGCACGATAATATTATCATTTAGGTAAATTGACGACATCAGCAAACCTTACTTTTGAAATTAACATATATTGAATATTAAGTCTTGTTAGTGATTTATTGGCTGACAAAAAATTCTTCAACACAAAATAATATTTAAATATTTATAGCATCTTGTAACAAAATTTCAATAAATTATAACAACAAAACATTTAAACATAATTAAAGCTACTGACAAAATGTAGCTTCATTTTAAATTTATAAAATTTAATAAAAATGAAATTTACACACATGCACTCAATTATAACAGCATTTAATGCATATTTCCCATTCAAACCACCTTTCCTGTGAAGTTGGGTCAAAACCCGTACTTTTCGCTATAATTTAAGTTAATCTTTTGATGTGACATATTACATTAAAAGAAATTTAATCAGCTGAAATTAATATTCAGTTTTACGACCAACCAAAGTCTTGTCCCACCATTTTACTGAATTTTCGATTGTATGGTTTGAAAAATGCCTGCAGAGAATGAATTGATTTAGGGTTTATGTATGGATGTTTCCGACCTTTGGTTTCGTCTAGGCAATGTGGCCTTTTGTTAATTTTTTTCCGTATACACGGAAATCCACGTGACTGATTGAAATAGAAATTGTTGTGAGTGATTTGTATCGGGAGACCTAAAAATTCTTGTATTTTTATAAGCTCGGTTCCAGGATCTGTCACTAAATTTTCACCATTAACAATATGGAATTGTTCCAGAGGAAAATAATCCAGCCATCTTTCCAAATGTTTTGAATACATCCCAATTTTTATAAGGGTACGTGAGGTATCCACGGTTGTTTTATTGTCTTTGAACATCATAGCTTCAAAAGAAGAATGCACTTTGGGTGACTTTGAAGCTATTTGAGCAAAATCTGAAATAGCCCTTGTAACTGGGTCTCGCACAACGATTATGAGTTTGACTGCAGACGACATATTAAAAATTCTCTTCGGAACATCTTTGGTTATGAAATACCCGGGTGTCTTCTCGATTGTAAGTTGTGACGAATCAGACTGCGGCATAAGATTCCTACAAATATAAGAAATATATGATGATAGGCGAAACAGAACAGAAACTAAATCAATTGTGGCTCAAAACAGCTGAAGCTTAACATGCAAAATGAAAAATGTAATTCACCTCATTGCATTTCACAAAAAAAAACGTTAATTTGATTCTAGGTTTTAAAATTGTTATTATTACACATATTTGTTTGTAAATTCATAAATAAAAAAGGAACAAACTGCAGCATAGCATGTGTCCGCGCAAGATAAAATGATCAATCTAGCAAACAAATAAATGCAACGTTTTTTTTCAACGTGATGTATTAGCAAAATGACCATGCATTATTTAATAAGACCTTGTGTATTGTTGCACTATATCTGCCTTAGCAAATATGCAAGAAGGAGATGAGAGTTATGTGTCTACCTAACTGTTTACTTCTTCCTATATTTAGAATGCAGTTCTTTGGTGTTACATTGTTGTAAAAACTGGAGTTCCTGCGTGCACCTATACAATCATAATCATTTAAGTTAGTCTGTCAAAAATAATTATAAAAAAATCCAAATTGCATAACTTTCAATTGCTCATATAATAAATTGTACCATTACATTTCAATTTTGGCTCCGCCCCTTTTATGACAGAACTATGAAATCGTAAAGTAAGAAAATCGGAAAGGAAAATGATCAATATCATTTTTATACCAATTGGTTTTTCACACTATATCACAGTAAAATGAGATCCAAGAAACGTTCTCATTGAGTTTGACTGCATTTGAAAACTTTGTCAAATTATCAAAAAGGATCGATCAAATGAAACTTGAGAAAACACGTATAAACACAGTCATGACAGTATCAAATTTATTAAATCTTAAAAACAGTAAACGAACATATAGCCTGACGTGTGAAATACCCATACTTAAGCATTTTAATGTATATATCGGAAGATTAATTTTCCTTTTACCCTTAGAAGTATAATATTTTTCTTTTTTGTTTATGGTATAACACATGCAATAAAAGTATGTATGCCTTTAAACTTTCCTCAATGAAAATATTAAATTACAATTCTAATTAAAAAGAAATCTTATATAGATTTATAGACTTTTATATGAAACAAGACACCAGAGAATTAAAAGTGCATGTTTCATAAATTATTTTTAATAACCTTTTGCATTCGACCATCGAATTCCGCAGACAACTTTCTTTCACTTTTTGTAACAAAGTGTTCAAGGTCAAAAGTTTTATTATAAAGAGAAATTATTTTTTCTCTGCATGCTGTAATGCACAGATATAAACATGTCCTAACGGATATTGGATTTTGTTTCTGGAGTTCTACCCTGGTGCCAATAGTCTTAATCGTTTACAGCAACATGCAAACAAAATCATAACACTTATTAACCTCATTACAACATGCTAGTTCAAGGTAAAAAGATTTGTTACCATAGAACATGGTAAATAATTGAACAGTCTGGGTTTTTTCTGTGGACATTGATGGTCAATTACAGGTTTGACCAACTATTGTGTATTCTTCGTAATATTTCATCATAAAAGGTTAAAAAAAATATAATTTGACAAGGGAATTTGGTGTGTATGGTAAGGCTTTGATAGTCTTGGTTAAATTTATTAACAACATTTTTAGACTCCGGACGATTGAGATCTTGGTATATTCAGTGTATATAGAAACTTCTTTGTTGTTGACAAATTTGAGTATGTTGGCATCTAGATGTCTTTTATTTTTTGTATGTCGCTAGGGGACGATCATTTATATTCTGGGGGAGGGGATGGCAGGATTTATTTATTTTCACTTTTGTACACATTTGTTTTCTGCATTTTGCTTTGCAGAATATTCATTTTCATTCTGTCTTATGCAACTTGAATGCTTGCCATTCAGTTCTTACCAGGCCAAGTTATTCATTTTCAAATCCTCCTGTCCCTACCCCCTTGAAAATAAAGTTGTTGTCCCTTAGGTATTAGTCAAACTGACATAGAACAACATTTCGTTTTATTGATATCTTTTAAAAATTTACAGATAATTTATCATATCTGTGATCGCGTGTTGATACGGATTTTACTAGTGACAAGCAAAATTTGCAGGTGCTTCCTTCCGGAGCACCTGGCCAGGTTCGTGTCCGGTTTTAAGCTGAGTAAGTGTTTTTATTGTTGTTTTTTGTCGTTGCTGTGTATTGTTTTATAGACCATAGTTTAGTTTTTTCTTTTCGGTTACGGCTTTTAATTGCCCCTCCGAGTATCTTATAACTTTTCTTAAATAAAGATTAATATGAGTAAGTATGTCAAACTATAACTCTACTTACTAAATATCAACTTAAAATACAAAAAAAAACAACATGTTAAGGTCGGATAGATGTTGCTTTGCAGATGCGAATCCACGATTTTGAAAAAGGGTTGGCCAACCAAGGTAATTAACGCAAGGAGTGGGACTTGTAAAACGTCTATGAATCAACCCGATATAAAGCTCCTTACATGAACCCAATCCCCCCTCCATTTTCTTTAAATTCGTCTCTGCTTTTGGCATATTATTTCTAACTTTTTACGAGAAAGAGTTTTTGAATTTACAGGAGAGTAGAAGCTTATACAAATGTTTTTTATTATACGGTGCTGATTAATTCCAGACTTCAAAACTACATATTTAGCTGCATAATAAATATGAAAAATATATCACAATCCCTATTATATATTTCAGAAAGAAAGTCGTTCGCCTCAATGTTTTCATACATGTCTATATTGCACTTTAGTGCCAATCGATGAAAAATGATGAGGTTATCAACAACATGATTTTGCACTACAAATCATTCAAATGTGAAACGAACGTTTGACACGAACAAAATATTTCTTTTCAACACTATATATTAACTTCGACGTTTTAATCATAAGATGGGCACTAGATTAAAAGGAAGATGACTTATTTGTTTATTGAGACGAGAGAATATAAATTTTCGTTAATCAATATAGAACTTACAAGAACTAGAGTAGGGCAAATAGTATACATTCATTGGTATTTTTATGAAATAGTAACATCTGGTTATTTATTTACGTGGACATAAATATTTATTTTACATAGAAATGTATTGACCTTTTACAGGTAAAATAATGGGAGTTTTTATTAAGATTCCAAATTGCAACAGGCGTTGGAATAAATTATGCATTTAAGAAAATTAGCGCCATTTATATTGATCTAGAATATAACCTTATTTACATGTAGCATATTTAGCCGCGTGATATTAAGAATATTAAGATAATTTCCCTAATGAAAACAAAAGCCCTATAATGGTTTTATTTTTTTGCATATTCGAATAAATGTTCAATGCCCTGTTTCTATGGCGGGATTATTAATCTATTGCCCTGTTTCTATGGCGGGATTATCAATATATTAAAAAAGGGGGAGATCGTATAAAGGATACAATGACAATAATAATTCGAAGAAAGACATACATTACCATGGCTAAAAGAAAGAAAAGAAAAAACTGCAGCAGACAAACAAAACACAAAACACAAAACCAAAGATAAAGGAACAAAGTTCACAAAACCAATGATTAAGAAAGTTCACAAAACGCAAAACGCAAAACCAAGGATTGAGAAGAAAAAGTTCAGAACAGTCAAAACAGAAAACAAAAGATTGAGCAATACGAACCGTACAAAAATCCTACGGAGAAATCTACTGATTAATCCATATTAGCGTTTCAAACTTTTTCATTTTAACGAATTGTGTGAATTTGTTTCTTCGTGTACTTGGTTTGTTGTCTGGCTTTTTATTTTTACGTTTCTTGACAAGTTGTGGATTTTTTTTCATAACTACCTGTAAATTTTCGAGGAAATTCCACTTTTTTCATGTTTTACTTTATTTAGGGAATTTCAGTATTCATGGGAAATCTTTTATAGCCTCTTGAATTCATTTAATATTTTTATAGACTCCTGGCTATTACGAGATTGAAATATAGTAAAGACACTTGACTTTATAAAACTGTTATGATGACTTTCGATGCCTTTCGTTTTTGTTTTTGTTTTGTTTTATTTATTTTTTTTTTTTTTTGGGGAGGGACTATTTTTTCGTTGGGTTGCTGTTTCATTGACATTATATAAAATCTGTGCCTTTAAGGCCGAGTCATAACTTATCATAAATGCAACTTGGCTAGACCAACTCTTCAAAAGTTTTACTATGTTTAAGTGAACCTTTTCATACTTTATTTATTCAACAAACTAGCCATTATCATTGATTATATGAAGGATTATATCCAAATACAGTATATAAAATGATACATTACTATTTTGACTGGTTCTTTTTATGATAACAATTATGCATTCCATTTCTCATTAGAAGGAAAACTTTGTTGAATAAGTGACAGCTCACCGTTGGTATATTTAGACCACCACACAAAATAAACAAAATAACATTGATCAGTTTATTGTGTTTCTTAATCTTAAAACCCTATTGCTAAAAATCCCAACGTATTCATTTAAACGATGACAATGCATTGTATATTACAGCTCAATTTAAAGCGCCCTTTTCCTGAATAGATATTTGTCCATCAAATATCAATTAAGTTATAATATTTTTCAGAAAAAAATCTATCATTATTGTGACACGGTTCACTTATGTGAAAAGATAACTTCTAATTTAGAAATGAAAAGACCCTTTATCATTTGTGATTATTTTTGTTAATCATTTTCATATTTATTTCAAAATGAAATAGATGACCTTAGTTCAAACGGTGTAGGGGGTAGACAAGCTGATGGACAGTTGACAGATGGCTTAAGTCCTCACGGACTGTTTAAAATTGAAGGACAAGGCCGAGGACAAAACCTTATTAAATCTTCATGAGAAAGTAAATCAGGCATAAATAATTGAACGTTAAGAAATCCCTTTCATTACTAAAATTAGACAAAATCAAAAGAAATCGATTACCAATATTGCAGTGTAATGAACTTTAATGGAAGCTTTGTGGGTTGAATTGCTGTAAAAATCTTTATATCGGTAAGTTAATTGACAATATTTAATAGAAATCCTAAAATCCATTTTAAAGTATCACTTATGTTGTCATGCTTTAATTTTAATATCTTTTAACTTAATGAAAAATAAACTTCATTATCTAGCAAATCGTTAACGAACTACAAGCTAGGTAATTTGACACAAATAAGAAATTTCCTGTTTCACAACTTCAGCTGTTGTTAATTTGTTTCAAAGTGAAGAATCTTCACAAATGCACATGTTATTTCTCGACTAAGCCAATTATTGAAGCGTCTTAATCGAAATAATTGTAATTTTAAAGATTGCTTTATAAGTGGTATGTAAAATATTTTAATTGACTTCCAGTGTTTAATTTATTATGTAAATGTGCGTGGACCGAAACTATCCATAGATTTAAAATATTTTGCCTTTCAAGTTATTTATGTTCTTAATATTTTGTTATTAAAATATGAAATATTATATCTCTTTTGTTCAATGTTTTTAAAGTTAATGGTTTGTTTAGATACATAATTTATATCTCTTCAAAGAATAATACCAACCTATACCACTCGAGGCCTTTCTCATAGTTTTTATCAAAGAAGTGTGGCTCAGGGCCGGTGGCTCGAACATTCGGATGAGCCCTTAAAAATTCCAGCAGTGCTCTTGTTCCGCCTTTCTTGACACCGATGATAATCGCATGAGGTAGTCTTTTTGTTAAGTATTTATTTTTCTTTTCATCTGAATTTAAATTTGTATAATATGTCGCCTTGTTTCCTCCTGTGTTAAGCTTATTTTCATTAAAGCTTACATCTTCGTTTAAGAAGTCATTTTTGTGAGTAAATATCCTCGGTGAAATAAAAATATCTTTGTTCGTCTTTGCTTTCAGATCTACTTTCTTATTCCCCGTTAAGAGCTCTTGAGAGTACAAGAACTGCAAATTCCTATTGTGACGTCTATTATGAAAGTCTTGTAATGTCCCAGGTTCCAATGTGTTGGAATAAGAAAGTAGAGAATCTTTAGAAAGATGAGTTTCTCCAAAATATCCGCTCAACACAAATATCGCACAAAATAATAAACATAATCCAAAATAAAGTTTAATTTTTCGAAAATTTCTAAATATTAATCCTGAATACAAATTTCTCATCGCCTTTCATTTTCGCTTATTCCAAAATTGTCAATAAAAACAACATTACTTCTTTTACCGTTTTTATGACTGTCAATTGCTTTTTATCGATTTTACATAAAACGGTTCCTATTGAAAGAATTTCAAAATTAGCTTATTTTGTAAACCACTACTCATTGCTTGGATCATAAAGTAAATATAGGTTTAGCAATGTTCAGCGTAAGTTGTTATTGATCAAACAGCATGTGGTTTTTTCTCAAATCTGATTGGCTGATTTAGACAGAAGGCTGATCTTAGGAATCAGTGAATGAGAAAACGTTTTCAATAAAAATACGAGTAGGAAAACAAATATCATATTTTTGTTACCGGTCTATAAATGTATTTTAATACCCCTGTATTTAAATATACTGGGATATGAAAATATGATTTCACAGTTACTTGTTTTCCTCACGCATAAGTGTAACACACAACTTGAGATATTATTCACACCTATAAAACTTCGGTACACAATATTCAATTCATCATTCGAGTTTCCTGTGATTGAAAATTTTCAACTTTAAATTAATAATTATGACACTACTGTATTATAGGTATAATTGACCAATTTACGAATAATCAATGGCTACTTATGACGAGTGGGTGTATATATTATATAGTGACTGAACCCTTCCCTACTCTTTTTAAAACGAAACTGATATATGGCATGTCTGAAAATATTATTTTTCTCGCACTTTACATGCAATTTTCTAATTAGAACTCCTGGTAAATTGCATTTTTAACATGATGCATGGGGTATAGTTTACATTTAATTACAGATATTGCTATTCGAGATTTTTTTCTACTGAAATTTGATTTCATAGTCTAATAATTTGCATCATCTAAATATGAAGGTGGAGAACGATATAGGAAAATGCGGGAAATGCCTGAAATACAAACGGAATTGGACCGGGTGAATTTAAAGAGTAAATACCTCCTGCTTTAGGTATATAATTGCAGCACGGACCTTATTCCTTTTGAGGGGTCTTAGATTTTTTTTTTTGTCCAACATCTGATTTTGGTCCTCTTGTTGTCGTCATTTCCAATCAATTGACGGATCAGCTTTTCTGTTGTATAGGAAAGTGGTTTTACAGTTAGAAAAGACATAATCTCGTTATTTATTTAAAAAAAAGAAGTTTGCGTAGGTACTAGAAAAAAATTAATTGTTCCAAATAAATTGTAACAGTATTTAAATTGCGTCTGGTTTGACCGAGTGCATGTGTGGCCATATGCCAGAAGCCGTCTGCTTAACTGGGGAGTATACGGCTGATGCAAGTTCAGTCCAAAACAATTATGAAAAATAGATTTGGTGTTAAGCGTAAATTAGACAGTAACCTAACGACAAGACTAACCAAAAGATATGCAATTTTCAGTTCAGATTCAAATTTTCATAAAACGAATGTCATTATTCAATAAAAAGCTGCATGTATTTATTAAATACGCGCCGATAATGTGTTTAAAACTTAACTATGCAAATATTCTCATTTTTTTTATTGTGCATGTTTTAATTTCCTCATTTTAAAACTTATCTAGACACGTTAAAGAATTGAATTCCCCGTTTATCGGCACGATACTCTTTTAAACTATGTTGAAATGTTTTATTCATCTATATTTTTAACTATACGAGATACATTTCTTCGTTCTTATATCCCTTTGTAAACATATAAATCACTTTAGTCAGCTGAAAAATGGTATTTGTCAATATTTGTGTGAAATTTGAATGCTCTAAAAACACTTTAATAAGAAGGTATTGATAGCAAGCATTTTGTTAATTACACCTCTTGTTTGACTGTTCAGTCACTACGTTATAATTTTAAAGTCTAGATTTGAATAAACTATTTAAATCTTGAATTCTTTTATATTTCTTACGGCTTAGATATGATCTTGATTATTTTTAAAGCAGAATAAAAGAATAATATTATGATCTGAACTGTTTATAATGAAGTCCAGAAAAAGAAACGTGTTTTCTCTTAGGAGTTCATCAAAAGAAATCACTTACAACTTCTGTAAACAATTTTCTATTCAAAACGAATTTGTTCCTTTTGATGTGAAGTGCAAATGGGCAGAATGATATTATATAATTTACATTTACTTTTTTTCACTCGTTTACTTTCACTAAACATATGGAAGATCATATTTCGGAAAGTATTTTGGAATTTTAGTATGACTTATTTTTAGAAAGTTTGAAATTCCTTTGTTAAGGTTATGTTCCTAGTCAATTTCACCTTGCAAAATTAGTATCTTTGCCGTATTTATAATTTTGAGTTAGTTGCTTCTCATTTTCACGTGTTAATGTCTTGGAAATCAGACCTATATAAGAAATTCTATACAAATGATACGCTGCATAATGAGAGAAAATATCTAGAAGGCAATCCAAAACTTAGCGGCAACGGTTTTGTTGCTCATTGCAAGTAAAACACTGTTGATAGAGGGTCTGGAACAAAGAATAGAGAAAATGAATAAAAAAATAAAGAATATACAGAGATGAAGATCCTCTCCTAATCCAGTTCTTTCAGTGATGTCAAAAACGAGAAAAGGAGAACGGGATTATTGTTGTGACAATTGGAACATGTCTGTGGTCATCTATGATACAGATATTCCATAACGGTCAACTAAATCATGATGGTGACCGTTACACATACACAACTTTAAATCTAATATTGAGAACCCTTTGCTTAATAGCTTCCTTGTAACTTGTCATGCTCTACCTAGGAAATCATAAAAGAAAACGAGAGCCTTGAAATATACTTGTATTAGATGGGAGATAAAAACGCCATGTTCAGGACCTACTGGAATGCTTTTACATATTAAAGAAAAGAGAATTCACACAGAGAAGATTAATTTTTTTATCGTAAAGTTTAGAAATTTTCAACTGACCCTTATTGTCAATTTCTAGATGCAAGTCAAGGTGTGATGCAGACCTCACTGTGTCTTTGGTATCCCTATTATTCTTTTTAAATAAGATATATGCGATCAACATATAGGTACGAAGCTTTGAATTAACATAATCTATAGTTAATGGGTTAGCAGATTCTTTTCATTATTCTTTAAAAGCACTTGTATACATTTAGCTTTATATTAATGACGAGGAGCACAGTGTATTCCACCAATAGTGATGCAGACTGTCTGTTGAAAAACATGAACTGCCAATGTAAAAAATATCAAGCATTTCGATGATGTTAGTTTTTAATTCGGTACTCCTCGGCAAGTCCCTACGGCAAAGTTCCGAACCAGACCTAGCTCATTTTAGCTTGGCATCCCGGCCCGATCTAGCTGCGCGTCGCAAGGACAAGATTAGCCAGTACCCCAGGCTAAGCTCATTTCAAAGGTGTTGACAAAGGCTATTCGCCACTTAAATATTTTTATTAGATAACTTTTTGTTTGAATAAGAGTGCGTTTTTACCAAGCTTGATTTATTCTTCCGAATAATATTCGAGTTGGTATTTTTTTTAAGCAAAGGAATATAGCTTTGTTTGTAGGATGTAATATACGAACCTGGTAATTGGTTATAATTTGATCTTCAATGAAATTTAGTGGCATTTATGCAAATCATATTCAAACCATGTTACAAAAGAAAAGTTCTCTCTGCTATTTCTTCTTCTTCAAACTTACAACCGTTAATTTTTAACTGTCAGAAATTGTTATGTTCAATGTCCATACTATACCCTCAAAATTTCTATTTCGATGGTCTCCTGTAAATCTCGAGTATATGTAGGAAGCCAATCAAAGACCGCATTAAACCAAACATTTGGCATTTGATACTTCTCTTCCAAGCATACTTTTTGGATCGATAGTCTAGTGTTAATCTCAAGTATATATTTGAGGTCATTCAATCATAGACAGTTACAAACCAAGAACTAGGCATTTGTAACTGCGGCAATTTGGAGTACGAGCAAAGATTGGTAGGATCAGAGTAAGAAATTCAATGAGTTTGATACATATTCCACTGGACTGTTATACCTTTTGAGTTGACAATCTAACTAAGTATGCCTGTGAAGTAGAAAGGAACAGCTTCCCCTCATATTAAATTTACATGTAAGAGTTCTGCAGATGTATGCCATGTTTAAAGCTGGACACACAGCAGACAGCAATTTTACGATCCACATGTAAAAACTAACTAACCGTCCTGACTTGGTACATGCGCTTTCGAATCGGAGATTCACAACAGAAGATGAGTATTGAAGACAGATGTAAGGGCAGACCACAGGAATGATATTTTAATATTTTTATTAGTTTATCCTGACTTTTTTTACATAAATTGTCATCCTGCCTTTTTTGTTTTACTCAAAACTCCTGTCCTGCCTTTTTTTCAAATTTCATCCTAGCCCCTTATGCAGTTTTTCGGTTTTTTTTCAATGATATTGTCGGTATCTCCTCTACCTATGAGTTTTGAATCTCTCTTAGGTACCGTTTGCCTCTTTTTTATAATATCTCTTATTTCAGCGATGATGACAGACAGAATGTAAAGCTGTCGTGAAGAAGGGCGATAAGAAATATCGACACTGATATTAGATAATCCGTTATATTTTATTTCTTTAAAAAGGCGATCAATTTATTGCACATGCTTATCAAACTACAATTGTATCATAAGAATATGACATGTATACATCGTTCAAAGTATTAAACTGATTTTAAGTTATTTACTTAAAGATAAAATTGACACTTACTGTTTTAACAAAGATAAATCTGTATTATAAATACTATGTTCAAAAATTTAATCTCATATATCTTAAACACTTAAGTTGTGGGATCTCTTGTTCAGAGATAAAACCCTCGAGATGGATTATAAAGCAAATTATTTTAAAGCTCAAACGTAAATTTTCAAATGATTTCAAAAAGAAAGGTTTTAAATTCAAACAAAAGGGTAATCTTTCAACATGTTTTCCTTTAAAAAGAGCTACTTGACCGTGATAAGGAGATTGAAGCAGAACAACAAATATTTTAATTTTCATAAATAATTTTAATAGGCTTTGAAGGTCACAAAAGGTTAAATCATATGACTAATAATGGGAACAAACGTTCTATTAATAAAAGAATAAAACTCCCAACTTTCGCATCAAAGAAGACATTTTTTTATGGATAAACAGCAATTCAGAATTTCAAAATCTGTTTTATACTGATTTTTGAATGAAGTGAAGAATTACTTCGAAGATTGACTCAACCTTACCAATCATGTTTATAAATTGAGAAAAAAG